AAAAAAGGGTGGTCACGTCTATATTGAACACGTACAGACATTTTCTGTTGTCATTATTCCCTAAGTAATACAGTATAATAACTATTTATGTAGCATTAAAATTGTATTAGATATTATAAGTAATCTAGAGATAATTTAAAGTATATGGAAGGATATAGGAGGATGTACATAGGTTATATGCAAATACTACACGATTTTATATCAAGGACTTGAGCATCCATGAATTCTGGTATCTGTGGGGTGTCCTGGAACCAATCCTGGAGGGATATGACTGTGCTTGCAGATAGTTAATGTTTCAGATGTGTAATAAGCATCTCAGAACATTTTGTAGTTCCATTAATTTGTATTATATATTGTAATAGGAGTCTAAGATCACTTGAGTCATAGAAGAGTGGTCTCCAGACTTTTGGATTCTGTACCTTACCTGTTAAAAAGTTTTATGCTCAGATCCCAATATATGTGTATTTATATATTAATAAATTATATGCATGTACTCATATGCATGAGCTGTAATTATGAATTTATAAAGTGTATGCAAAATAAGTTTTTTTAAATATGAAAAACAAATTCTGATCTTTCTTCTCACACATCAATGAAGACCACAGCCAGAGTTTTTGATTTAATATGTTTTCCCTTATAATTTCCAGATAATAGAATATAACTTTTCATGTTGTGAGCTCCTAGTGCCATATACTATGTTTTCCCTTTATAACATGCTTAGAGATACATAAGATATCTTAGTACCTAGGTACAGCCAAGAGTTACAGGATTGGGAGAAGCAGAGAACAAATTATAACTATTAGTCTTTAAGAAAAAGTATATATTTAATTTCAGGCTAAGAGCACATACATATGAGAAATTTATATATATAGCTGGGTCTCATGATCGCCTTTCTAGGAGACTTAATTCTGTGTAATACCTGAGTTCAGTTTTTGTCAATTTTGTAAATTTTATAGAATAGAAGGAAAAAAACTTGGGTTCTAGGCCGGACGTTNGGAGAAGCAGAGAACAAATTATAACTATTAGTCTTTAAGAAAAAGTATATATTTAATTTCAGGCTAAGAGCACATACATATGAGAAATTTATATATATAGCTGGGTCTCATGATCGCCTTTCTAGGAGACTTAATTCTGTGTAATACCTGAGTTCAGTTTTTGTCAATTTTGTAAATTTTATAGAATAGAAGGAAAAAAACTTGGGTTCTAGGCCGGACGTTTTTACATATTGGCTGTGCAGCCTTGGCAAATCTGTGTATCTGAGTTGCTTCACCTGTAATATTAAGTTAACACCTTCATTGCTTGCCTAACAAGGTTGTGAGCTTAAGATGTACTAATGAATGTGAAAGTGCATTGAAATAAAATATAAATGGCAGTTATTGTAAACATTCAGCAGTAGGAAATGGCATCCTTCTTATCATTTATTGAGCACCTATATATCAGCCAATGTGCTAGGCGTGCAAGATACAAAGATTAGAAGTATAGAACATACACCAAAAAGTCACTAGCAGTTATCTTGGAGGGGGCAGGAGGGGGGTAGGACTTCAACATTTTACTCTATATTATGTATTGTTTGTTTAGTGTTAAAAAAGAGCATGTCATGTATTCATGTCTTGTGTAATTTCTAAAGTTATTATTAGTAAGGCTCAGTGACTCACCTGACTTGCCCGGGAGTAGGAGAACTAATATTTGAGTTCAAGTCTTATTAAAATGCAGTCTAGTCCTCTTTCCACTGTATTTAATGTAGTTAGCTAACTTTCTTGTTTCATGAACATGAAATAGTACTGTATAAAAACAAATGAAAGTATTTTTATTATTTAAGATTCTTTTTTTTTTTTTTTTTCTAAAGGATGACTGGTAAGGGGATCTTAACCCTTGACTTGGTGTTGTCAGCACCATGCTCACCCAGTGAGCTAACCGGCCATCCCTGTATGGGATCCGAACCCGGGGCCTTGGTGTTATCAGCACCGCACTCTACCGAGTGAGCCACGGGCCGGCCCATTATTTAAGATTCTTGATAGAAAATATTTTTTAAAACATATATATATTTTTACCTCTTTGATCTACTATAGGTTTCTAAAATATTGGAAGAATTTGATGTTGAAGAACAACCAAGTACCATGTTAGAAAATCGCTTTCCCAACATTAAGGTTATAGAATCTGGAGTAAAGCAACTGAAGAGCAAAGAACACGTAAGATAATTTTTTTACTTACAGATATTTTCCTTTGTTAAATCTTGGTGATGTTTTGCTTGCCTTCCTTTTACCCTGCCACTGCTACTACCACCATTTAAGTCCCTAATATGTAAAGTTTAGTGACGTTGATTTCCATTATTAGAAAAATTTATACTTTGTGTGAGTTTACTGGGATTATATAATCAGTCACTTTGGCTTGGCATTTTAGTTTTCACATTTCAAATTACATTAATGTTTATAAAAGTATCCACTGTGTTCTGGATACTGTATTAGGTGCTGCAATACAATAGGAATAATACAAGGTACCTGCTCATGGGAGCTGTCAGTGTCATAGCAAATATAGATATGCATGCTGTGTAATTATATGGGAACGTGAAAAGCAGAGTCACTGGAATATTGTCAAAGTACTGTTACTAGGGATTTGGGAAAACTTCACTGAGGGAATAATATATTTGAGCTGAATTTTAAAAGATGGATGAATTTTAAAAGTTCTCAGGTGGAAAAGGGCATTCCAGGAAGAGGAGATGGAATGTTCAAAGACCCAAAGGAAGGAAAAGGGGCATGAGGAATAGTGAGGATGTCAAAGGGATTGGAATATAGATAAGTAAAGGAGATTGGTAAACAAAACTAGAGAAAAAAGATTGTGAAGGGCTTTTTATGTTATTCTAAGAAGTTGAGTTTATTTTACATTCAAGAGATATTACAGAATGATTTTAAGTGAGGGCAGGGATTATAAAGTAGATTTTTTTTTTTTTTTTTTTTTTTTTTGGAAGATATACC